TTGCACTTTTCATAATTTCTAATTTCTACCACATGCATGCTATTTTAATGGTAGGAAGAAAAATAAGAATTATAAGAATAAAGCCAGAGAAGAATACTTACACTATGATTCTATTTATACAAAACTGCAACAGTAAAAAAATAAATTGTTTAGGATATGCACTTGTTTGGTAAAACTATAAAGACAAGAAAGGGAATGATTCACACAAAATTCAGGAAAGCAGTTATTTATGAGGAAGAGAGAAGGAGAGAGATTCAATCAGGTAGAGAATAACAAAAGGCTTTAGAGGTACTAGAAATTTCCTTTTTAATCTGAGTAGGAAAAGACAGGTCTTCAATTTGTTATGCTTTAAAATAAACCTGTAAATTTCATGCACCTTTATACATACAATTTATTCTGCAATTTAAAAAGAAGATAGTGTTGGGAAATCAGAATTTGGAGGCTGTAACCCAGACTCTTCCACTTACTGTGATCTTAAACAAGTCATTTAAACCTTCAGAGCAGTTTTTCTTCTTATTTTATAGATGAGGAAGCTTCAGCTAACATGTTTAGCACTTTACTGATTAAAGTCCCTAGACTACAGTATAAACATGTAAACAGTAAGATAAACTGTGAGATGATAATACAAAGTAATTCCTCTTTAATAAATTATAGAACATCATAATGCCAAGAACTCAATGGTAGGACACACAAGGCTATTTACATTCTAGTATCTTCTTGTCTCATAATAATGGCAACAATTAATCTTTTTTAATAGGTACTATGTAATCCACCCACTGTGTTAAATACTTTCCACGGAATATTTTGTTTAATCCTCAAAACAATCCTACGAAATTAAAATGAGCTGTCTTATGCCCACTTTACAGATAAGACCATTGTGCCCAAGGTCACACAGCTAGCAGTATATGGTGGACTCACTTCAGAAGCCACACCTTTGGGGCACCTGGGGGGCTCAGTCGGTTGGGCGTCCAACTTCAGCTCAGGTCATGATCTCCCAGTGTGTGGGTTCAAGCCTTGCGTCGAGCTCTGTGCTGACAGCTAGCTCAGAGCCTGGAGCCTATTTTGGATTCTGTGTCCCCTTCTCTCTGACCCTCCCCTGCTCACACTGTCTCAGAAATAAATAAAACATTTTTTAAAAATAAAAAAAAAGAAGCCACACCTTTAACTATACCAAGTTATGCTCACTTTTCTCACTGTATTTAAAATTATTTATTTATTAGAGAGAACAAAAGCACAAGCGGGGGAGGAGAGGGAGTGAAAAAGAATCCCAAGCAAGCTCCACGCTGTCAATGCAGCACCCAACACAGGGCTCAATCCCACAAACCAGGAGATCATGACATGGGCCGAAACCACGAGTTGGGTGCTCATCCACCTGAGACACCCAGGCTTCCCTCTCACTAGATTTAAATCATCTATCTCTCCCAACAATGAAAACTCTTTCACAACTGTTTTCTGTTCATTTTTATTTCCCCTGGCACTTAGCAGGTAATAAGTAAATAAATATTGAACAAATAGTTCATATATGTACGGCATTTTCAAGGCATAAAGTTATTTCAGGACATGAACTGATTTGTTTCCCTTGACAGCCTTGCCAAATATAAAAGTTTTTGTTTGTTTTTAATATTTTAACCATATCTGGTGTGTAATTCAGAAGAAGTGCATTCACAATGTAGTGCAACCATTACCACTAAGTATGAAGGTTTTTAATGACATTACTGAAATCAATCACTCAGCTATCAATTGGTGGGATGGAGATCTGAACCCAGGACTCTCCATCCATAAATTCATAGGCTTTTCATTCTATCAGCACCTCCATCTGCTCTCTCCTTCTGACCAGAATATGAGAAGAATCAAACACTTTTTTTTTTTTAAATATTTTTTATTTATTTCTAGGAGAGAGAGAGAGACAGCGTGAGCAGGGGAGGGTCAGAGAGAGAGGGAGTCACAGACTGAAACAGGCTCCAGGCTCTGAGCTGGCAGTCAGCACAGAGCCCGACGCGGGGCTCGAACCCACGAACCGCGAGATCATGACCTAAGCGAAAGTCGGACGCTTAACCGACTAAGCCACCCAGGCGCCCCAAGAATCAAACACTTTATATACATTTCTACTGCACAGGTGCCCACAGCTGTGAGTGGGGAAAAAATCCACCAAGACATTTCTCTCAGGTGATTACTTTTCATTTTGAGCTTTCAAAAGCTAGAGTTTTAACATAAATATCTCACCTCTAGCTCAAGGCTGCAGATGCACAAAAGCAACGTCTGGACCTCAGAGTAAAGTTATAAGAAGAAATGATTGCATTAGTTAGATTACACTCTCATTGAATTACAGGTAACTCCTCAAACCTGGTTTTTATTGTAACAAAGCTTCCTTATAGCAAAACACTTTCAATCCCAAGGTTAAGTCAAATCTTCCACCATTCTGCCCATTTTGGAACTACTGAAAAAAAAAAAAAGAAAAAAGGATTCTAAGTATTGGGCATTTTTACGTGCTCAACTGTGAAAGCCAAAGAAAATGGTTTGTTTACCAGCTGAACTCTAAAGCTTGAGGGGAAAAAAAAAAGAATCATTTTGATCCTGTTGATGCCAATTTCATCCTCTTTACATCCCTCCTCATGTTTTAGCCATCTGAGCTCTAATCAACAGCTACTTCATGTTTAACATATCATAGTTAATGCAATTAAGTGCAGAAAATTGTTTCCCTGAAGCGGTTCCCCCGTCACACCCATCACACATTCCAGCATCACCATTCTGCCATAAAAATGAGCATATCATGAAGCTTTAAATAAAATTGCTGATGAATAGATGAAGACATTGTTTCTGCAGTTAATGCAATGTGTCTACATCAACACCAACCCCTAAAAGAAAACCAAAATAAATATGATTGTATATGCTTTGTTTATCCACATCAGACAGAATTCTGACCACGTGAACTCCTTTAGAAGAAAATTCAATCTATAGAAATATTGTCCAATTATTTTAAATCTTATCAAGTAATGTCAAAAGAGAATCAAACGAAAAACTTCATCAATACCAAACCATTTCACCAATGAATATTTATGACATTTCCGTATTTCCTGTCTTCTCTCTGTTTACATAAAGCAGTGGTGCCAAGATTCACCTCAGGATTATTAGCCTGCAATACAATGATGGGCCTAATTGCCTTGCAAACCAGGACACCAATAAATGAAGTCTTCAGACAATCAATTTTAAGAGGAGAAAAAAAAAAAAAGGCCTAAGCTCTTTCTACATACATGCACTTTGCCGAAGAAATAAATTCAGCCTCATATTTTTCAGTCTCATTTATGGGTTCTCAAGCAATGAATGCTCCCTTAAATAACTCAAACTCATCAAATCTATTTAATTCCAAATTCCGGGACTAATTTTTAAATGCACCAAGGGGAGGGTAGGAAGGAACAGGCAGAGACATCATACAGAAAGATAACTTATCGCATTCCATATTTATCTTTTTCACCTTTAGTCTGGGAATAGGTTTTTTTCCTAAAACTTTCTTTTTATGATAAATAAATAGAAAACACCCTCCCACACACACACTTAATTCTAATTTTAACTGAAGCCCCTCATAACTTTATCCTTTGGGTTGATTTATTTCCAAATATGCTACTCATATAAATGAAACAAAAAGATCGAATTAACAGCTTAAGACATCCTCTAGGAAAGAAAGTCTTTACTGTACCTTCTCTGTCCCCTGCAAAGTCCCCTCTGATTACTGTCCCTCCCCCAACCACAGCCTCCAAAGCTGTCCATTTAAGCACAACCCCTTACCCCCTTGTGTCTCTCAGAAGACATCAGAATTCTTCCTCTCTAGAATCATCCAACCCACTTCTTCCCAGCCCTGCTCACTGCCCCACTCCATCCTCCCTGCCCCATCCATACCTAGCTCCAGGTTTCCCACTCCTTAAACAGCCTCTTTGCCACCTCACCATCAGTCCTACCAGTTCATCGCAGACACTCCTTTTCCAAAACTCCCTCCGCCACCTTGGCCAAGGAACATTTTCTTCAAGATACCATCCCCTCAACCTTGTGCACCACCTGCCACTATTTTTTCACAGTGTCCAACCCAGCAGCGTCTTCTGAGCCCTCTGACTCAACCCGGCACCGAGAGAGCCACCATGCCTTTTCCAGTGGTTCTAAAATCACCCTAAATCCCATCCCTTGTGCCCCCCTCCAATTTCAATCGCAGCCTGCTCATTTTGGGCCTAACTTGTAATTTACCCCCCTCCTGCCATCATACTCCTCTCATTGAAAGTCCCACCCCCACCAAGCTCCTATTCCAACCTCCATAAGCACTCTCCAGGAAAAAAAAAAAAAAAAACAATTCTACCTCCTCTGCTCTCTTAACCCACGCTATTCCATAAGTCTCCACAAAATTCCACCACCCCCAGAGGGCAAACGCCCACTTCATGGTCAGGTCTCAACCCACGCCAAGTCCCTTACTCCCAGCTCCTACCACCTCCTTCAATATGCCCTAGGTCCATCCTAAATTCGCCCTCCTGAATTAACACCCCTCCCCCAGTGTCCTATCCAACCCTAACATCCCACTGTCTATTGAAATCATCTCCCCACCTTGCACCCCGGCTGGAGACCCCAAGCTGTCAACTGCTCCAACCCAACCCCAATCCATCACCCTCATTCAGTCCCCTCCCCCATTAAAAGCCATCCCACTCCAGCCTCATCATGCATATCGCCCAAAACCATCCCAAATTCCACCCCGACCTCCCAAGCTCACGCTCCTATCCCATATCAGGTCAATCGTTATTAAAAGTCCCCTTCCCTTGTCGCCCCCCCAACCTGCTTGAGTCCCACCCTCACCCCACCCCGCGCCTGGACAAGTCTCCCCTGCCAACCCGCCGTTCCATCGCAACCTCAAACCCCTTCCCCCAACCCGCTCGGGGGCTCCGCAGCCCCCACCCTCATTCTCTGTAAGTACCACCGGCCCAGGCTCCTAGAGAGCAGACCAGGAAGGGGGGAGGTCTCCTCACCGGCGAGCCGCTGCAGGCGAAAACGGCGGCGGAGGCGGCGATGCCCTTGTCTTCTCTGGAGGCTACAGCGGCGACGCTCTCACTCCCTCGCCCGTGTCCAGTAAGGTGGCGGATGGCGCGCAGGGACCGAGAGCCTCCTCCTCAAGCTCGGCTCTGAATCCTCTGCAGTAGCCAACGAAGAGCCCGACGGGTGGGGGAAGGGGGCGCTCGGCTGCGGGCGAGAGAGGAGGAGGTGGAGGGAGGGGGCGGGGGACCGCTAAGAAGGGCGGGCAAGGAGGAGCCTGCGCGGCGCCGCGACACGTCCCACAGCCTCAGCGCGCCGGGACCACAACTCCCGGCATGCCTTGCTCCGGCCCGCGCCAGGCCTGCGCGGCCTGCACCTCCAGCCGCGCGCCCTATGCGGAGGGGCCGCGCCTTCCTTGGTCACGGACAATGTAGTAAAGTCAACCATCCCCTAGCGGCTTTTGTAAACTCAAAAATCACTTGTGAGGAAAGTTAGGTCGCCCCGAACTCTCTTCTCCAAGTAGTAATGTTTGCAGCGTCTCCAACCTCTTTAATACACACACACACACACACACACACACACCCCCGCTGCCCCCGCACCCTACTGGACTACATTTCCCAGCATGCCCCCACAGTCTCCCGCCCTCCTTCCGGACCCTTCTCAGATGCGGGATTAGAGTTCCCAGGGGGTGGTGCCTGCGAAATGCTGGGAGATGCAGTTCTCAGTTCTTCCTCCATGTTAAGAAAAAGAAGTGAAAGAGAGGTAAAAAGGAAGGAATATGCCAACCCACTGAGGATAGGCCTGGATGGGCTAGATCACCTGTGAGTCTGTACTCATCGTCATCCCCGTTGTCACTGTCAACACCGGCCCCAATTCAGCAGTTCCCTCCTGGTCTCCCTGCAAATCAGAGGACGATTTCGCAACTTAAATGCAAATGTGAAAGGAGGTTGCTCTTTGATCGGGCTCCATTACTTTAAAATTTTTACCTTAAAAAGAGAATGAAACATTTTGAAAAAGATGAGTGCACAGGTGGTTATGTGAGGTTGTTGATTACGGAGGTATAGTAAATTGTCCATTTGTATATACAAACAATATAGTAAGCAGCTATTTGAAATGATGGTGTAGATCTATTTATTGACATGAAAAGCTATTCACAACTTATTCTGAAGGGAAACAAATTAATTACAGAACAGCATGTTTAAAATGGTCCAATTTATGGGGCGCCTGGGTGGCTTAGTCGGTTAAGCGTCCGACTTTCGCTTAGGTCATGATCTCGCGGTTCGTGGGTTCGAGCCCCGCGTCGGGCTCTGTGCTGACTGCCAGCTCAGAGCCTGGAGCCTCTTTCGGTCTGTGACTCCCTCTCTCTCTGACCCTCCCCTGCTCACGCTGTCTCTCTCTCTCCTAGAAATAAATAAAACATAAAAAAAAAAATGGTCCAATTTATGTGAAGTTTGAGATAATCGTCTGTAGGAACATAGACTTAAGCAAAGAGGTTCCCCAAATATTATTAGTGATTATCTTGGAGGAAAGGGTGTCACCCGATTTCAAGTCATTCTTATTATTGCCTGAACAGTTTAAAAGAGCACATAATTTTTTAAGTTACAAGACTATTTTCAAAATTTTCCAAAATCCAACAACCATTCTTTGCTGCCTAAAAGCTTACCACGGCTTCCTGTTGCCCTCAGTGGTGCTCCGGGATGAGGCCTGTCCCGGTTTTCTGTGAGCTCAACAGTTCCACTATGAAAACAAATAATGGTGGTTATTTACAATTAATAAAAGACCATTAAATTACTAGAAAGAATGTTTTGTATTTTCATTGTCTATTCTCAAATTTTTACTCCTTCTGGTCTTACCAAAGCCATTTCTTCCTTTTCTCCTCATTCTTGATACTCAAGCCAAAATCATACCTTCCCTCTAACGTATTTTAGGCATATTAATTTTCCTTATATCTGAATTCCTATAGCACTGCTTTTTTTAATCTCTGGGCCAGAGATCTCTGTGGAGATGGGGAGTGAGGAGGGAGGAACAGAGTTACTGTAAAGGGTCTGCAAAGCTCTACTTAAAACATTGTCTATTGACTGAATAAGTCTTATACTTAAAAAAATAATTTTTCTTCTTCTGTGTCCAACTCTCCTAGCATATGGAATATGGCATCAAATGATCTCTGATTTAGCATAAATCCTGTATTTAATTATGGTATTTTATATTTTATGTACTGTTATTCCTTGATGTTCTGAACACTAGAACATTCAAGCTCCACTAGTTAGCCCACTGGAGAACCTCAAGTCTACCTGACAAAGGCCAGGTTCCTTATATCAGAAGTTAATGTGGTATACAGCCCTAATGCAGGTAACCTCTTCAGCTTCACCCCACCTAACTCTAGTTACACTCCTGTTGCTTATGACTCACTTTCCCCAAATATATGGGGAACGGTCACTTTCTTTCTTTTTTTTTTTTAAAGTAATCTCTACACGCAACATAAGGCTCAAATTCACAACCCTGAGATCAAAAGTTTCACATTCCACCAATTAAGCCAGCCAGGTGCCCCAGGCACTGTCATTTTCAAACTGCCTATCTTATTTTCACCGTATTTGTCCAGGCTTAAAATCCCAGTCACACACACACACACACACACACACACACACACACACCACAAATCATAGTCCTTCTGCTCCCTTTTCTTTTTTTTTAAATTTTTTATGTTCATTTATTTTTGAGAGAGACAGAGAGACATAGCATGAGTGGGGAAAAGGCAGAGAGAGAGGGAGATGCTGAATCCAAAGCAGGCTCTAGGCTCTGAGCTGTCAGTACATAGCCAGAAGCAGGGCTTGAACCTGTGAATCTCGAGACCATGCCCTGAGCCAAAGTTGTACACTACTTAAACGACTGAGCCACCCAGGTGCCCCTCCCTTTTCTGAGAAGAGTAAGAAAAGTGCCTGTGACATGTTGGCTATGTGACAGGGAAGTCCCTTCCCTTCCCTAAGTGTTGCATTGCCCAGGCCCTCTTCTAAACCCTCTCTACTCCCCTCCTCCTCTTTTTCCCACTTCTTCTACTGGAAGAGGTGGGGGGTAGGGGGGTTGAAGATGAGAATTAGAAGGGGTCTGGTCTGGCTAGCAAGTAAAGCATTATCAGATTTAGGGGCACAGGGATGAGAAGGTTTACCAGACTATCCTTTTTTTTTTTTTAATGTTTTTATTTATTTCTAGGAGAGAGAGAGAGAGAGACAGCGTGAGCAGGGGAGGGTCAGAGAGAGAGGGAATCACAGACTCTGAAACAGGCTCCAGGCTCTGAGCTGGCAGTCAGCACAGAGCCCGACATGGGGCTCGAACCCACGAACCGCGAGATCATGACCCAAGCGAAAGTCGGACGCTTAACCGACTAAGCCACCCGGGCGCCCCTTTACCAGACTATCCTAAATTAGACCTTGCCATGAACATGCTGGGTGCCCTTTGTTCTGAATCTCAGTGTTTACATCTGTAAAATGGAAGGAATAATTCCTGCCCTGTCACTTCAAAAGGTTATTAGGAGAATCCAATAAAGCGATGAGTATGAGAGTGCTTTGGAGACTGTAAAGTGAGTACAAACCCTTCATCTAATTTGAGAATTCTCCAAATTCCTGCCAACTGTTGGCATGTAAACTTTTTACTCAGAATTAGATCATTACTCATAGATTTATTAAAGTATTTAAGGAATCAACTCCATGAAGCCAATTTAATTCCTTGATAAATTTTCTGTATAGCACAGTTAAACAATTTCTAACTTTTCTAGTTTTTTCCTTCAATTTTCATCAAGATATATTCTTTTCTCTATCAATTTTACAAGAAAGATTAGATTCATCAGTTATCTTATATGTTTACCAATTTTTACTGATTATTGCTTCAACTATTATGAAGCTTCTGGTCATTATTTCCACCAATTCCACCTTTTCCTGGAAGCAAATTGCCATTGTCAGTTTTATTTTGTGTTGATTATTTCTACCAAGTGGAATTTTCCCAGGGGACAACTTTGCAATGTTTAATGTTACCAACAAACATGGGATCCTTCAGTTTGCTTTTCCATCCATAATAAATTTTTACCACATGTAGTTTTAGCCATTGTCACTTTTATTTTCTGTTGATTATTTCTACTACATCTAATTTTTTTTTCTGCAACCCTAAACAAACTCAAGGACAAATGACAGTGTCAAAACAGTTTCCTTTGCCTGTTATTATCTGATTAACTGGGTCTGTGAGATGGTTTTGTCTCCACTATGTTAATGAATTTGTTTGAGCTCCTCTTTCTCTCAAGGCATCTCTTTAAGAGCATTGGCACACATGTGTGGGCTGGACTATTTCTTTAAGAATTGCTTGCAAAAAAAAAAAAGAATCACATTAGAATTGCAGAAGAATGGACATTACAGACCATGTTAGGACAACCAATTTTCAATGAACCAGGTGCTGTGCTGGCATTAAAGATGCATTACCTCATTTAATCCTTCATCCTAAGCTTCCTTTACATGCCCATTTTATAGTAGAGAAAATTGAGACCCAGAGAGAGGAAGAGAAGGACAAATTAGGATCAGAAATCAGGCCCTGGTTTACCACAGTGCAGTTTGAATGTTTACAAGTTCCAAAATTACATAACTTAATTTTTAAACTTCTGCAATCATCTTAATGGAAAATTAAATTATAATTTTAGAGTTTAGCTAAGATAAACATGAAAAATGCATGAATATAAACAAAGCATTCTCAAAGAGCTTTTTGTAAATTAAAAATAGAATTACCATATGATCCAGTAATTAATTCCACTGCTGGGTTTTACCCAAAGAAAACAAAAACGCTAATTCAAAAAGATATATGCACCCCTATGTTTATTGCAGCATTATTTGTAATAACCAAAATATGAAAGCAGCCCAAGTTCCCATTGATAGATGAATAAAGAAGATTCTGCATAGATATATAGATAGATAGATAGATAGATAGATAATGGAATATTACCCAGCCATAAAAAAGAATGAAATCTTTCCATTTACAACATGGATTTGAAGAATATTATGCTAAGTGAAATAAGTCAGTTAGAGAAAGACAAATACCATATGATTTTAGTCATATGTGGAATTTAAGAAACAAGATAAAGAAAAAAAGAGACAAGCAAAAAAGAGAAAACCAGACAGAGAAAACTGTAGAGGACAAATTGATGGTTATCAGAGGAGGGGGTGGAGGAACGAGTGAAACACGTAAGG